CAGTACTCTGTTGGATAAACGAAGATATATTATATCTCTCTCTGTCGCGCGATTTGGCAAGAAAATGGCGTCGCTTCTCATATGGCGCCACTCTGATTAGAGGCTCTCTATCCCTCCGCTCCAAAAACGCAAAACTGCGTTCCAAAGCCCATCAAAATTAAGTATTGCAACTTTTTTGCTGGCGAGTGTATGTATACATACTATGTGTTTCATGTGCGTAGACTTCACATTTCCGCTCACGCTCAGTTAATTTCTTTTACGGAAATTACTTCTTGCACGTTGCTTCGAACATAACCTTGCAACGATTCTGTTAGCACTGTTAGCAGTTATTATTTCACAGTCTTGACTAAAAATCATCTTTAATTATTCTCAGGAAGGTAAGTTAACCGAATGAATGCTTGCTAATATCTTGTAGACGAAACAGGTGTATTTTACATAACTTAAACGTGCTATGCGCTCTGTATAACCTCTAATATAATATATCTCGCATTGTGACGAGAAATTGATGTTTTATAAAATGTTTCTAATCATATTTGCAGACTTTGAAAACGTCAATCAATTTGTATTATTCATTTTTACAAGTACAATTTTTCTCTTGACATTGCAGAATATCTATTTCGAAATGAAGACTAAGATAGAGCACAAGAAAGGAAAAAAACGGTCGCTTAGCGAGACTTCCATTTCCATAAAGTCGAATCAGAAACAAGTGGATGTTAACGAATCCAATAAGAGTCTCAAAAGAGCTAAATTTGTTTTTAATTCCAAGCAAAATGGGAATCCTATAGTGGGAGAAAAAGCGCTAATCTCTAAAGCAATGGATAAGCAGAAAAAGGGGCACAATAAGATAGTAAAGCAGCAAAGTGGCATTGTAAAATCACCAGAAACGAAGAGGGATACAGAAGAAAAGATACAATTAACTATGATTAAGCCTAAGAAAGAGACTGTCGGTAAAACTAGCAGTCGGTCAAGGAGGAGACGTCCTTACAACAATATTAATCTTACTACGGAACAAATAACAAAAAAGATAACTGAAATTAAGAACAGAGAAGTGTTGTCAAAGAGAGCAAAAAAGATACTGGGTATACTTAACAGAAAATTAAGGGAATTTGAATTGGAAAAATTAGACACAGGAAAGAAAAGTAACAAAGAAGCAGAATATCGCGCATTGATGAAAAATAGACAGAAAGCTAATGATGAGGATAAAATGAAAGTAGAAAAAAAACATGTTGAAAGCAAAAGTAAACTGCAGGAGGAAGATGAAGATGACAGTGATATTGAGGAGGAAAGTGATGAGGACGAAAGTGATGAAAGCGAGGCTGAAAATGAACTTGTAGGCTTTAAAAAAGAAAAGATTGGCGATGAAAGTGATGAGGATGAAGAGGATGAAGAGGACGATGAGGATGAAGAAGTAGAGGTAGAGAATGAAGAAGATGAAGAAGAAATAGATGATGAAGAGGATACATATGATGAAGAAGATGAGGAAGATGAGGAGGACGAGGAAGAAGAGGATGAAGAATTAATTAAAAAAGCAAAAATTTCTGAAGTAAAAAAGAAAGAAGTACAAAATAAGAACAAACAAGTTCCGCAACCTTTAGATAATCAGAAAAAAGGTGAGGTGAAGAAGAAACGATATGTCTTGTTTGTGGGCAATTTACCATTAAAGTAAGTAAATTTTTAGAATTTTTAATATATATTTCTGTTCAGTTCTTTATGTAAATTGTAATCTGAATATTTAATTTACAGTATAACCGAGAATGAGATCAAACAGCATTTCTTGACTAAAGTTAATACAATAACTAGCATTAGAATTCCAACTAAGCCAGATAAAACACCACGTGGCTTTGCATACGTGGAAGTGACAAATAATATAGATTTTGAGGTAAAAGTATTTTATACTGCTTGTGATATCGTTTTATTAAATATGTTTGTTACAATATAACTTTTGTATTTTTAACAGAAAGGTCTCTCGTTAAATCATACATTCTTAAAGAACAAGAGAATCAATGTTCAATTATCGATGCCCATGGGCGGCAAAAAGGAAGATGTTACTAAGAAGCTTATAGCTGCAAAAAATCTGAAGCTGCAAGCGCTTCAGAAGGCTGGAAAATTGGCGTCTCCTGACGGGAATCAAAAAAAGAAGCTATTTAAAAAGGAGAAATAGGATACTGAAGAATCGAAAATATAATAAAATAAATAGAATTAATTAACGAAAGGACTATGCAAAATCATTTGTTTCAATTCTTAGTATTATGAATGAAAAAAAAGCGACTTTAATAAGAAAGCAATTTTTTTTATGTCAGTGATAAAATATTGTTTTAAATATATTTCTACGATCACATTAATACTATTTCAAATGTAATCTTAGATAAATATACCAATTATATTGAACCAATTTGTATGCGAAATTTTTTTTTGTTCATTTAATTAATTACATACCTGTAATTTTGTTTAAACATAAGCTAGAAAAAGCTTATACTTGTCAAAGCATTAAATGCGTTAATTTGAATGCCAAAAAACAAGTGAGCGCATATTTGTTTTTTAGCGTGACATACTTATTTGACATTAGCAAAAAGAAAATGTTCATGAATGGAACGGAGTCATCTCAACAAACCTCTCAGTTCGTATTATTTCGCAGTTTTATGATATTAATAATCAATATCAATAATTCATAATTTTTTATAATTTATAAAGAAATTATGCCAGTAGTTATTTTATGGATTATGTATGTATGTATACAAACAGAAACGCAATACATGCGACGATTTACTCGAAAATATTGTAATTTCATAAGATTAGACTGAATATCGTTTATTAAATGATTGATGTGAGAAGATGGCAGATGGCAAGCTGGAGGTAAATACTTTTGATGAAAATATGTCAACTAGACTCTTAGAGGTATTAGGATATTCTTAGTGTTGGCATAAACGTGAGTCCAAAATGATCGATGTAATAAATCTCCGAATATATACATATATATGTATGTATATATATATATATATATATATATATATATATGCATCAATATTTTATTATCTTAATTTCTTAATTATTTTGCTCATATTGTTTGCTTATTAATTGTGAATCTTTACGTATTTTGCATAGGAAAAACTCTCGGAACATATATTTCCAGAAGAGTTAAATAAATTTTTGCAGAATCGAATTCGTGTAAGTATATAATATAACTACACACACATAATGTAATAAGAACTAGAAAATTATACATATATATTATGATTATTTTTCTTTATTGTTACGTAATTGTTATGTGGATAAAAATATTAGCTAAAAATAAAAATATAATTCTCTCTATTTTTTATTACAGTCTCCATATAAAGTATAAAGTTACATTAATGAAAAATAAAGTGAAAATTCTTACGCAATAATTTATCGTTTATTTGTATCTTTAATTTATTTATTAGACCTAACATATAAAACGAAACATTTATGTACTGTTATATAAAGACAGTTTTTGTTCTTACGTGTGGATATATACATATATTTTGTTTATAAACGTATACATTTATTATTATTATTATTATCATCTATTTTGTTTGAAGCAGTGATGCAATTATTTATTGATTAATTCACTGTCAGATAATGACTGTATAACAGGATTTAATGGCGGAGAATGAATGTTTGCGACGAGCATTTGAGCACACGGAGGAGAAGTTGCGGAAACTGTCGCAAGAAAAACAAAATTCGCAAAATACAATGGCAACCGAATTGGCTACGACAAAGTTGATTGAACTTAGCAAGAAATATAGAGACCAAACCGCTGAAATGGAGGCATTGAAAACAAAATGCAAGAATTTAGAAGCCACTCTGGTCATTAAAGACGATGATCTGGAACGTCAAAGAACGGAATTGCAACAGATTCTCAAATCTGAAATACGCAAGGATTCCGACGATAGTTCGCATTTCTTTTCTATTTTGCAAGCAATACGAATATTTTACGTATTTGTCTCGTTGTTAATTTCGTTGTTTAGAAAACACCCTTGAAAAAGTTAAAGTTTGAGTCATGATATTGAAGAAAAGTTTAATGCTAATTTCCTTTCTACCTTACCATCGATATAATTTAACATTTTTATTTATTAATGAATAAAAATTCATTCATGAATTCATTTTTAATTTAATAATTTGCTTATCTCTCTCTCTCTCGCTCTGTCCGTCATCATTTTATATTATATTTTATAATATTTTTCGTGTATTTGTAACATCGGAGAAACCGAGAGATATAACATAAAGGGGAGAAAGATTTAAGTAACAATTAATTTATTAGGCAAAGGTGACGAGGAGCGAATTAAATGTTTGGAGAACAAATTGCAACGAGTCCAAGCAAAACTTAGTGAATCCAGAAACACGTGTGTCACTCTTAGGCAAGAGATTAATAAAGCACAGAAGGTATTCTACGTGTTTTTTTTTGCTCTTTTAGTAAGCTGAATCGGTCGGAAAAATAATTGATTTTTATAGCTAGAAGAAAAGATCTCCAAGTGATCATTTTAATTATTTTTGAGAGATAGATATGAAAGAATAAGAGAATGCTCATATATATAGTTCGTAGTAGAAATGATTATGTAAAAAACCGTGGCATGCCGTTTTGACTTTGCCATTTGACCGAAAACTCTTTCTAAATTTCTCTACGTGTGGAGAGTTATCATTAAGGACTTATACAAATATCGTCAGTTATTGTGCAGCGAGGTGGGTGAAAACGTCAGCATCAGTGCGCTTTCGAGTATACCGGGCGGTTGGCGTGGACGAGCCGAGCAAATCCGGAATATGCAGCAGAAATTGCTAGAGCTGCAGATGAAATTGTCCGAAAACGGAAGATTCCAGAAAGAATCCTCCGGTAGGGAAAAAAATTGTGTTTATATTTCTATATATTATACTTCAAATTGAAATCATTTTTATTGTAAATTGTTTTACTCGTTATTTCATACTCAACGTACTTGCTTATTGTAGACTTATTAAATAACATTACTCGTTGCTGCATAATTCGTATAGTTCAGATAATATAATATGATTGTAGTCCCCTTCCCTCCCCCCCCCTCCCACACACACACGTGCATGCGCGCGCACACGTACATTTATTTGTTTTCTTACATTTATAATTTATAATAGCTTCTCTAGATCGGCAAAATTTGGCATGTCTTCGGAATGTTGAAAAGGAAAGACGACAACAAATAGAAAATACAGTGAAGAAGCTAAGACAAGCAGAGGTAGCGTTGGAAACTTCGAAAAGGAAACTTGATGCTTCTAAGGCGAGAATAAAAGTATTGGAGCAAGAATTGAGTATCGCGAAGGGAAACATTGCGACGCTGAATGAAAAAAGGTCTCACGATGATCGTCTGATTGACACGCTTAACGTTAGTGATGATAAAAAGTATTGCAGTTTAATAACGAATCAATTACAAATACATGTCTATAATATAGCGTATTGTATGTCTATAATATAACAATTAAAAAGATTTATTTCTTCCTTGTGAAAAAAATTCTCATAATATCTCATAATATTTTTAAGAATTCTTTATATTTTAAATTATGTCAAGACTTTTAAAAAATACTTAAAATTTCTTCAGATTTTATAAGTTTTCTTTGGAAATTATGGAATAAGAGAAATCTTATTGTTACAATATTTCAAAATTCACGTATAATACTGCATGTATAACATTCTAGAAAAGATTTCTCTAGTCAGCAAACTTTCTCAGCACTTCTGAAAAGCGTTTTAAAATTTGTATATATAAAAAATTATAAAATTATACAGAAAATCAAAGTGAAAATTTAGAAATTTTAGAAATTTCTTTAGAAATTCTGAGAAATTATGTGATGAATTTTAAGAAAACATTCATATCAGAAACAGTTGAAGATTTTCGAAGCGAGGTATCAAGATCGCGAGGTAGAAGTACAAAATAGGGAACATAAGAGTGAACGTGAACACGCGAACTTCAAAAACGAGATGAGAGCGACACAGTTGCATGTCGATCGATTACGTAGAAGATTGGAGGAACGCGAAATCGAAATTGACAAATTAAGGTTTATATGAACAAATCACTCATATTATATGATGAGTTATGCCGTTCCGTTAATTAAAAGAACGCACTAATTATTTCTCAATTTTAGAAAGGGCCTATCAGATGAATCTTTCAGGTATCAAACCTCGATTTATCCAAATTTTCCGTTAACCGAAGAGCGGCAAATCAGTCCAACTGCTAATTCGCGAAACTCAGGCGAACCAAATGAATATGTCACCTTGGCTCTAGCTGCTGAAGTTGAACGCGTGAGACTGTTGGAATTAGTAACACTACTTAATCAACGACTGGACAAGGAAAGAAACGAAGTTGATTCACTTGCAGTAAGAGAAAAAAGTTACAATTTTAATTATATTTATATTAAAGAATTTTGTCGATAATTAATTCGATAAAGGAACGTAATTTCAACTTTGTGTGGTAAAATTTTTAAATTTTAAATTTCCAACATATTAATATATAGATCTAATAAAAATTTAATCAGCGAGAGGTATAATTAACTGATTTTATAAAAAATAAAAATGGACTCAGAATTAAATAACAGATTGTCATTTGTTGATGATAATTTGAAAATATTAAACTGTTAGATATAAAAAAAATTAAGGTAATTATTCACTTTAGGAGAAGCATCTCCGATTTTTAGAAGGTTTTCGCTCGTTGTTCGTTAAAAAATTATTAATAAAAAAAAATTGAAAATTCTTGGCGCGCGTGCGCGTGCGTACACACACACATCGACATATGTTGTCAAAGTCATACCCTGATCTTCAAAAGATTTTAGCCGTTGTTCATTATTCGTTAAAAAATTATTATCATAAAACCTATGTGGAATTGTACAATTAGTATAGAGATACTATACTATACTACAGACAGCTCGTTTCGTCTCATAAGCAGGGGTGGATTTCGCTTTGTGTGGAAAGTTGAAAACTCATATGGAACAACATAGGTACAATTATAAATCTTGCTTCGCTTCGTAAGCAGGGACCGTGGGTGTGGGATGAATCTCATTGTGGAATTAATGCTTCGCGTGGAAATTGTCGTATAATTGTACTATTTCATATATGGGTTTTCGATTTAATTTCCACACGAAGCAAGGTCCATCCCACCCCTGTTTACGAGGCGAAACGAGATGTGTGTGCGTGTGCGCGCCAAGAATTTTCAATTTTTTTTATTAATAACTTTTTAACGAACAACGAGCGAAAATCTTAAAAAGTCACGTGTCAGGTTCATGATTTTGACATATGTCAAGGTCAAAGTCATCGGAGGTGCTTTCCCTAAAGTGAATAATTACCTTGAAGCTCAGTTGTTAATTTAAATATTAAATTTAAAAGAAATTGCTGCGTAAAGAAAAGAATAAGTGTGCGAAATTAGAGTCAAAATTGCGAGATTCGGAGAAAGAGAGAGTGGGACTTGTTAAAGTGGATACGGGATATAGAGCAAGATCTTGCGCGAAATCGATCGCGTCGAATCTACAAACGGAGGAAGAGCCTACCAACCCCGAAGAAGTTTGTTATAAGTAAGTTACATGTTGTAATTACTGCAGTAAAATCTGCTTTTCCCTTCTTTAAAAAAATTTGCGAGCGACACGAATTAAGGTCAATTCTTTGTTTTCTTATTATTGTTTCTGATATTTTTACATTTGACATATATATATATATATATATATATATGTGTGTGTGTCTGTGTGTGTATATATAGAATTGAATTACTAGAAGAGGAGTGCCTCGCACTAAAGACCAGATTAGATACCGTGCAGCAGGATAAAGCATCGGATCTCGCCATGTACAAGAAAATGCTTGATCAAGCTAGAAAAACTTTTAAAGATGCATGCAGGTGAGAGAATCTAGACCGTGTCCAAACTTTTACTCGCATAAGTAAAATCTAAATTCTATTCGATGACCGTGCGTATAAAATATGCATGTATGCTTTTACAACGGACAATTGGCTAATCTCACGATGCCACTTTCCAATACGGCCTTCCAGGAATTCTCTCTCGTATAAGAAGTGCAGACGACTGAGTGTCTATTTTTAGATTTTTCAGTGCCTTTGCTTCCTTAGCGTTATTGATGCTGCTTTATAATATGTACAAAATACGTAAAAGGTATATTCACCGTGATTCACGATATTTCGTATATTTCTCGTATTTTGTATTATATTTTCTCTATGTATGTTTCTCTAATTTTGTTAACAATTGCCATTGCTTTTTAAAATAACGTATTTATTTATCTTAAATTTACTTATAAGATAAATGAGATTTTGTTTATGATTATTGTTAGCAATTACGATCAATTAATCGACTGCTGTTACATATACTTGACTCTACGATTTCTTTCTTTTGCGAAGCTTGCATAGAATAAGAATAAGAGAAATTTTTTACAATAAAAGTACGTGATACGTAATAATATATTGCTTATTTAATTTAAATAATATATCCACTATTCTCTCTTTAACATCCTTGTACTCTATAATCAATTATATTTTCTTTAGATATTAGTCCAAATAATAATACAAGTACAAAAATGCACTCTAGAGACACAGCTGTCTAGACTTGTGCGTAATATTTTTGTCAAATAGTGCAGTAATGTGACTTTTAACTTTAAGCCAACAAATTGTTTTTTATTGTCCTTCCACATATATATCAAAATCAAACATCTCTTTCCAGAAACAAACTAGCTGGCGGTAAAAGTCGTTCCACAATAATTATTTGAAACAAAAATAAGAGGGCATGGCAGAAAGAAACGAGGAGTATTACCAATTCTGCAATCTTAGACAAACTGCAGGTTTGAGGAAATTTGATATAGTTTGTTGAAGAAATTAACTCTGTGTTATAGATAAAAAATAGAACATTCTTGTACGAGACAGTCGCTTGCAATCGGAATAGATGTAACAGCAACAAAGCCACGGAGTCGTGATGTAACTGGGACACGAGATAAGGTGCAACGTCTCTACGTAAACCCGCGTGACACCATCAGAGTAAAACTCACAGTTTCGTCTCCACCTCGCGTTCCTTCGCCGTTCCCTTAACGCGCTCCGGTGTTTGCCTCGGTCGACTCGTTTACTTCTACCATTGATATCGCACGCGCGGCGGTAACGCGGCTATAAACTCATTCCGCTTTCGTTACCTAAGAGCAGTAGACGACTCTCAATCTTATGTTACTACGAGTTTAATCAGAAATTTGAAAGATATATGGAATCTTAGACCCTTATTAGAGTCTACATCACGATATCGAACATATAAATGACAAAGTTAGAAAATATAAAAACATTCTACATGTTTAAACAGTTTTTGTAAGACCATTTTTATTGTAAGGTACAATTTTATATGTCAATAATATAAAATTATGTAGCTGCAATAGAAAATAAGAAAATAAGTAAATTAATATATCACGTCAAATTTTACATCAAAAAGATCTCTTATAATCAGCTGAAATGATTAGTTTAATTGTATGCGAATGTATATCACACATACATTGCAATTTTTTTTGAGTTTAACTTCTTATGAGTTAAAATTTTTCAAATACGCAATCAATATATTTTGGATTTATACGATGATAGTCTAGCTTGAAAATCAATCATAGATTAACTTACGCTCAAGTCTTACGTCCCACTTAGCATTGTATAATTAACATAACAATATTTTCTTCATATATGTATACCGGAGTATCCATTTTTACCGTCTCATCAATGGTAATGCGAAGTGTATTCTCCTAACAAACTACTCTGACAAACGCCAAGTTTCACCTCGTCTCTTATAATTTTTGTTTTTGTGTATGATGATCAATGGTCGAGAATGCAGGGACTTAATTTTCCATAAGAAATAAAAAAATAAAACATGATTACTTTTACAAAAAATGATAACATATAATTTGTCTTATAATGTGTAAAATATAAACATTATAATGTGTAAAATAAATAAGATTTATTAATTGTGTGAACAACATTTCTCCTTTTAAATCGCTGAAAAAAATTGAAAAAAATGTTATAAAATTTAGATCGGAAGAGCACACGTCTGAACT